ACCCGTCAAATTAATCCGCTGATCAAATCCGTTGACTCAATCCGCTATTTTAAACCCGCTAATATATATTATCCGCTAACCGCTAACCGCTGACCGCCGATTGCCAAACGTGCCCAATATTTATGTGATAATCTCTCGTGCCACATGTGCACATGCACTTCGCAACATTGGATATGCTCTACAAGTCTAAAATGGCCTCTCTTAAATACTACATATCTCCCAAAGGAACGGAGTTTTGTTTCATCAAGCAATGTTAATTAAGACCGGTACATAAGAAGTGCATACTCCGTATACTAGTACTCCGTATTTATCTATATCTCTCATTTTGGTTGTCTGACTTTAATTTCTTTTTAACAAGAAATATGTGGTCTATATCTGTTTAATTATTTTATTCTACTTAAACTTCAATCACAACTTTTACTTTTTCATCACTATGTTAATACTTGTGTCAAATTACGATAGTATTCAATATGGGACGAATGTAGTACTACGTATCATTTATTCCAAGGAAATAGATTAAAGCACTTCCCAGCTTTTGACTTAAAAAAGCTAAAAAAGATGTTTTCAAATGACAACTTCTACTTAAATGAATTACTTAAAAGTTAAAAGCTAGAATCTGCTTTTTACTTTTTTATTACACAAAAAGCACTTATTTTACCAAACAACACCAACTTTTACTTTTCAAAATCACTTTTTTCTCAAACACTACCAACTTTTACTATTAATCACTTTTTTACCAAATCATTTAAAAAAGTTAAAAGCACTTCTCAGTTGGGTTTGCAAACAGAGCCTAAAGAAGTGCCTATCTCATATTTTGGGATTAGATGCGTCCTCTTTTGGGCTCATCATTAAGTGGCTTTTCTAGTACTCCGTATAACATTATCTCATATTTTCATATTAAGTGTTCAGCAAATAGAGTTACTTATCGTCTTATTGTCCTATCTCCTAAATAGAGTTGCATTTCTTTTCATTTGACAAATTGTTTGTACATATTTGTACACTACGCGTGTACTAGAAAAGCAATTAGGAAGCCTGAGCCTCCTCCAACCTTCTCTAACTTCAATACCATATATAAGGGTGTTGAAATAAACACAAATTGAAATAGCTAGAGGATATTAACCAGGGGCATAGTTAGGGGCCATCCTAGCTAGGCCTGATCTATCTCAAATTTCAATTCTATTTAAATTATTATGGTAAAAATCGTATACAAATTAAGTTTTCCAAAATAACTTTTATATCAACCAACTCCAATGTATCAAATTTCACATTTGACGAGACATAACTTTGACCATTAATATATATGTCTCTATTAGTAAAAAAAATTTAAAAATAGATTTTGATAATTTACCATAAGACAAATTTAAAAATATATTTTTCAAAGTATAACATATGAATAGTGTAAAATTCAACATGTTGCATTTATTTAGGAACGGAGGTAATATATTGCTCTCCCTACGCCAGTGTGATTAACCATCGTAAAAGTGCACCAAAATGACAATTCAAGCACTTCATATTCAGTAGGCACTAAATACAACTAAAATTTTGATAGTGGATTGTTACGATGATATACAACGTACGGCAGCTAAAAATGGAGATCGATCCTGTCCTAATATCCTTAATTAATTAATCAATCAATAAACTAATTAATTAGGGATTACAATATAAAGATTTGATGAGGAACTAGACTTGAATATTTTGACGCAGTCAACTTCAAAAAAAGATTTGAATGCCTTCCTGATCGAATTTTGAGCTGAAATTTGGTATGCACAAACTAGACTTGATGAGAAACATGCTCAAAAAATTTCATCAAAAAATTCCACCGGGAATGTACCCAAACGAGCTCGGCCGGACGGAGGTTCCCGTCAGGCCGACCTGACAAGAAGAGTTCTCACAATATAAATATTGGATTCTAACTAGCTAGCTCATCAGTGGTAAGACTTGAGAACGGAACCGCAAAAAGTGCAGACAATGGCCTTCCAATTCTTTGAGTAAAAAGGGACGTAGCAAAACCGTGTGGCGGTCTTCATATCGGCCACGCTGGCGGCGGCGCCACACCGCCCGCACGTCCCGGCCGCCGGCTTGCTCCGCCGGACCTCCTTTGTCTGATCAACCAGAAAGCAGAAGCAAACCATTGATGAAAGATGGGATTTACTAGTAATTGTTAGTTGAGAGGAGCCTGGCTGGTGGGTGGTACAGTGGTACTATACATGCCTTCTCATGATGTGTTATTTATTTATAGGTGTGACAACAAATTAATGGGAATTTAAAACCCCAGCAGCGGACGGTTGAGCCATTATCTGTTGACTTTTTCTTTTTCTTTCTTTTTGCAAAAGGTATTGCAAATGTCTTATCTGGTCAACTCATTAATCAGCTACTTGCATTAAAATAGTTACACCATACCACCAACGATTGGCCCAAATTTGATGAGTGCTTTAAAAAAAATGATATCTCGTTCTTGAGGGTCCGCAGAACATATCAAACAGTTAGAGCATCTTTAATACTACATTGTTAACATTGAATAAATTTTGACACATCGCAATCAATAAATGGAATGTCCATCCACATCATATAAGAGTAATGCAAATAGACGGTTGAATCCAAAAAAGTGATCCAATGCATTAGGTTAACTTAACAGCCATATCGATGTTCAGGTGTAAAAGCATGTGGATTTTAAAATAAATAAATCAAAACCTCCCTATTACATTTAATCAAAATTCTCCTGAATCGGACCCATGCAAGTTCCACTTCCAAGTGTGATTCCATGTTAGGCGACGAGTTCTACATCCTTTATCAAATATTATTTTTATCAAAGATAAAAAATTACGCAGTCAATAGTTTTAGTAGAAATAATGATCTTTCGATCAGTCGAAACCTTTGTGAAAAAGAATATGTCGTGGGACGTGGGTCATGGGTGATTGTATTTCGTGCGTAAAGATTTTGATGGACGACAGGAGTTTTGATTTTTTTCTACATTGCAGTATTTTCTCGGCCAAAATTGCCGAGTCAGCATGTCAACAAGGATGTTATCTCAAAACAGTCAAAGTGACAGTGTCGACATTGATTTTTGACAAGTCGGCTTTAACAGAGGTGCGTTGGAGACCCATATATTAGAAGCAATGTTAACGGTGATGATCTGTAAATTTTGTTTAGCGTCAACAGACCCCCATGGGAGATGCTCTTATATATGCGGTGTAAGTTAGTAAGTTAAGAGCATCTCCAATGCTAAAACGTGAACGGTACATACGTGGCATAAGAGATAATCAATTAAAAATACGGAGTAATAAATAGAATATTTCTCTCCTTATTTGAAAGATCTTGTATCATTTTGATAAGTTTTTCTTCAAAATGTCAAGCACAATGTCTACATGTAGACATTATGCTTGACATTGCAGAGGAAAACTTACCAAAAACACAAAAAACCGTGGAAAGAATGAGAGAGAAATGTCATAATATCAATTTTTTATGTCTATCTCTCTCATGCCACATGTGCACCTTGCACAACGTAGCATTTGAGATGCTCTAATGGATGAAAAAAGATGAAGTTAAATTCCAAGTCATTGTTTGGAGTTGAACTCGAGACCTCTCTTTTGGCACCATCTTGCTCCCAAGTCATTGATGAGTGCTTTTAAATCATTGTGGACATGGAACCTAGTGTTGAAGAAGAAATGTAAAGCCGGTAGTCTAAGCCAAAAGTTGAAAACTCATACTACCTCCGTCCCGTTGGAAGGTTCCCATAGCAAAATGGAACAGTTATATAGGCAATAATAAAAAATAAAGTATTTTGAGTATATTTAAGATTCGAGATCATTACATCAGACAAATGGAAAATAAAATTGACATCAACTGAACTCCAACAACTACGACCGTGAACCCTATGATGAGACTTTGAGACGGTCACCCCTGAAAGAGCAACACGAATCGCTAACCATGTAGTGGGCTTGACACAGCCAAACCTATTCCCATAGATCCAACCATACCCAATGACATAACGAGAAGCTAAAAACTCAAACAAACTGTCAAAACCAACAACAAAGATGAACACAAGAAAACAAATGACAAACAGATAAAAATTACTACGAAAACTTTCATGGACTCTAGCACCTCGTACAACCCATGGTGGTGGTTCAGGCAGAGGTCGGACCGTCGCTCGATTGATACCCTCTCTCGATAGCGTACCCGCCGTATGACCCAAATCCATGTCATCGAATGGAGCGTTCAACCTCTCCACGCTAACCATGTCTCGATCATCCCCATGTCTCTCTCCCGCTTCTTCCACTATCTTCTCGTTGCCACGATCATCCATCCCGAGCTGCATCAAAACCACGGCAATCCGGCGCAGAGCTGTATCGATTGAAAGAAGTTTCGCACCAGGGCAGCGAAACACAAACCCTACGCGAGAGCTCTCGCTAGGGAAAAACTTTTGGGAACCTGATTCGTTGCTCCAGGGGTCCATTAGTTGTTACTTGTTATAACTTGTAAATGGTAGAAATTTGATTTTACTTTTTAATACAATCATGGTTTATATGAATTATATAATACAATTAGGGAGGGAAACCGAGCTTATTTCGCAGACCATCTAACGTAATACAATTTGATAATCAAAAAACTAATCGATAAAGCTATTCAAAATGTAATAAATTTGGGAAAAAGAGTTGGCTAGACAAATGAATGGAGGAAACACACTACATTGAGCAACAACTAATATTTTTCCAAAAAAATATCAATCAATAAAATATCAAATAATTAAATCATTAAGCAACTATACTTAACCAATCAATTATGGCTCGTTTGTTAGTTTACAAGTTAAATCTTTACACACGAAATGATTGCATGTAAAGTTTAGGAAAACAATCGGTTTGCATGTAAAATAGATTGCATTGTTTGGTTAGACATTAAATTTATTTTTAATTTGCACACAAAGACGCTGCAGTGCTTTATAAAAAGCATGCAAAGTATTTACTACCCCCCACATAAAATACTTTATATGGTACAGTGCAAAATGTTTTAAAAAGTGCCCTACAATTTGCATTAAATAATCAAACCAAACAGTGTAAACATTTTGCGTCCTTACACTTCCTATGCAAAGTAATTATTTTATGTCTTACCAAACGCCCCTTTTATGTGAACGAATCAAAAGAAAGTAACTAACCTCAAAATTCCAAAACACAATTCTCAATAAACCAAACCTATACAATATAACCTCACTAAGACGCTTCAACTGAGATTTGAACATATGGTATAATATTTTGACCTCAAATATCTTTCTGTGGCAATCCAAACAACACCCCTCACCCTGACCTCAAATTTGTATGGCAGAGCCCGCCATAACACGACTTCAAATTTTTTCTATTATGTGTAAGACAGTAAGAAGTATGCGGGAGCCTTTGCGGCACTCAGGGTGATGATGATGGTGGTGGTGATGATGATGGTGGTGGTGGTGATGATGTGTAAGACAGCAAGAAGCTCTCAAGACAAGTCATCATGCATTGGAGGAGGTTGTGCATTCAACTAGTAGCAGGCTAGCAGCGTTGCAGAGGGCGGGCTTATTCCAGCTTCCAAGTTCCAAATATGAAAAGAAGACACAGAGCAATCAAAGAATTAGAAACCTCAAGCCCGCACCTCCGCCCAAACAGGTTGTGTATCATAGAGCCACCATCATTGTTTGTCTAGCAGCTTCCCTCCTCATCTCTGCAACTTTTCCACTTCCCCGAAAATACATGTACACTTGCTGTTTATACCATTTGTAATACACACAGTGAGGCTTAGCAAATGATCAAATCATGCAATTATATAAAAAATTCAACCTGAATGACCCATATGCTCATCATTGATTCGGTACAAAAGAATCCAAATCCAACGAAGTAAAAGATCTGCAGTGAAAAAAGATGGGAACAATAAAAAGACGGAAAACATGCCTTAATTTCAAAAAAATCTGCAAGCCAAATAATACAACTCTGTGAAGGCTCCCAAACAAAACATAACAGCAGTATAGTGTAAAACCACTGCAGATTGCACTTACCCCAACTACAGCATTCTCACTTAAAAGTTCAATTGCTGGCAAGATACCACTGCAAACAATACAATCAAAATGAATAACTTCACACTAGATTTACATATTAAAAAAACTCAGAATTAGGGTCCATTTGGAGCCCCTTACTAGGCAAATAAAATAAGAAGGAAAGATAATGTCAGTGAAAATAAAAGATAGGCTAAAACCCCAAAAAATATTTCGGAAATTTGTTGATCATCGTTTTATTTAATAATATCGATTATATAGAAAGTAATAAATCTATGTGTATTATTATATGTAAGCTTTTCTGAAAAGAGATAATATTTCATTTCCAAGGTAAGACGAAACATGTGAAAATAATGAGAAAATTTCCTGAATAGGAGTAAAACATAACATAATTCTTCAAATAAGAGTGTCATAGTTCTCATCACCAATAAGGAGGACTCATTCACTCCTATTTTGGGAAGAAAACACATTTAGTGCCATTTTAGAATTTTGACAATGTTGTAGTCCTATTTTGAGCAGTTTCTTAAAATAATTTCTATCGAATTTCCCCCTTTCCCCTAGCCCTTTTGAGATCCAAACATAGCCTAAAGTATGTGAGAAGATTATAAACTCATTTCACAATGAGAGAAACATACTATCAATTTTACATTCTAGAGAATTAAATAGCTTGCAAAGAGTGGCCTACGGAATTCGAGAATGAAGAAGTAACTTACGTCAAAGATTTCCCATTGAAAAAAACGGGAGGTGCCACCGCAGCAACAACACAAAACCCAATGTGAAACTTCAACACGAATAACAGTAATGAAAAAAGTAATAAATATCAATGCATGAAACAGTTAGAGCGCCTTAAATAGAAAGTTGAAAACAAGAAGAATGTGAAGCACTCACCATGTAACACAATAAAAACCAGCTGAATTTCAATGCACTATCGGTCCTGCGAGGAGTATAGTTGAAAACAATACATCAGATAACTGAAAATAGGTTTAATTGTTTAATGAGAAATTTCTTATGCAGCAGAAGAGAGGAAGGAATAAAGTTGAGCAAACCTCATTGCACGATATAGAGGACGATACCATAAGACATAGGCTCCAGGGACACCTGATATGAAATAGATGATAGCAAGAAACCAGATAGTTGGGCCTGCGAGAAACATAAGTTAATTAATCTTAATGAAGTGGCTAAATATAAAATTGAACGCCAATAACGAACCTTCTCCTTTTAACCCAGCTGTGGTAACAGCTACAATGTTCCAAGCAAGACAGACAACAAGACCTGCAAGTCGCCAAAAGCTAAAAGTGATTGCACCAGTGTGGTGCATTCATATTTTCTATTCAGAAAAACTCTAATAGCAACTACAAACTTTTTAAAAAACCTTAAGCAAATAAATTTAGAAAGAAATGCAATATTTTGATGACAGCCCTATTTTTAGTCTTGACATATATGGTTGAAAGTAAAAAAAAAAAAAAAAAGCAAATCATGGTAGCAATATGTTGCAAAGACAGTTTAAAGAGTCCTGGCCCTGATGTTAATATTCTTTCCTGAAGAAAAAAGGATAAAAATGTTTACTAACCCAAACGACCCTCTTATTAGACTGTTAAACAGTCAAGGATGGGTAATTGTGAGCATAGCGATTAAAATTGATGAACACACCGTCTTTATAGTTTATACTTCATATACAAAGAAGCACTCTTTATTTCTTCATAGCTGAATTCTAAAGAAAGTTCTTGAATTGGGTTGAACCTAATGCCATTTGCCTTTCAGTTTTTCCTACTCGTGTTCCCTTTGCTTGAATTGAAATTTATTTTCCCAAAATACATTACACTAGGCATTTCTCGAATCACATCAAGATTCTAACAACTACAAGAATGGGAAAAAAGCATGCAAGAAAGAACAGTTGACCACTATAAAACTTGAAAGTGCACTGGTATCCCCTAAAGATGTCCGCATAAGAATAGTATTTAGCAGAAACATCAATGCACATATGATATGCAAACGGAAAAATAATGAAACTACACTTTGATGACTGACCCAACAATGTCATGAACGCCACATACTGCAACCTCTGTAGATGGATTGGAATTTCATTTGCAATATCATGGTGAATAATAGGAAAGAATGGTGGCCAATTTTTTTCCTCTATAATGATCCCAGCTGCTCATAGCCAAAGTATAGATAATGAAAGATTGTTATGGGGAAGATGAGAGCTTAACTAAAACAATCTGATTCTATGTAATAGTGAGCCGATAATACATAGACCTACCTCGTTTTATGGCATCTTCCTTCCTTTTTAGACCCTAAACAGAACCCCGAAAATATATGCTTTAAAAAATATTCGAATGCATAGGAATTTAGTTTATAAGAAGAACCCTATTTAATTGATGGGAAAATAAAACTTGCAAAATGAAGAATACACTTCTGCTAGAATGCTGCATGCATGATTAAAAAAACAGGCACATCAATTTAATAACAAAGCCCAAAAATGTAGCTATCGATGCAAAGCGAAACAGCAACCCATAAACAATATGAGTCATTTAGATGCATCATAGATATATACAAAAAAAGCCAAGAGATCAGAGTCCTTTACAAATTTTGAGCATGATTATGTTAGCGCATTATAGTTGATGGACTGTTAGGATCCAAGACATATATTGTTTAGAGAGATAAGAGCAAAAAATGAGATAATGTAGTGTATTGGGGTTAGAATGTGCATGAATAATGACATCCTTTTACATGGCTCCCAAGGGGAGTATTTATAGGAAAGACATGGGTCGGGTCGCTAATATGGGTCCTACCTGTTCCCTCTTCTTCAGTTCAGCCTCCTTAGCTTGAATTTCTTCCTCCATCTTTTTTAAGTCCTGTGCTTATAAATAAAAAGGCATGAATAGTAATAAAATAAGTATCCCATACCATATCACCTAGGCGATAGGATTTAGGAGAGAGAGAGAAGGGCCCAAACAACAGCCAAAATGCCTGGAATGGACAGTAGCATCAAATTCACCTTGGAACTATCAAGAGAAACATTTACAGTTTTTCCAAGACCATCAGCACGTTCACGTGGAAGAGGGGAAAGTTTTGAATTTGATGCAGGTGGTACAATCACATGATTCTGGTGGTTTCAGAAAGAAGTAGTGCATGAGCAATAGAAACATTGTTAAAATGCTTATATATCATATTGGACTTGAAAATCAGATCTTATATATTCCATCATTTGGGCAAAGGGGCAGGGCTGGTTCTAGGGGGAGGGCAAGAGGGGCGACCGCTCTAGGCCCGAAAAAAAATAGAAGAAAAAGTAGGCTCAAATTTTTTTCTTTATGTATAGTGTTAGTAGGCTTATTTTTTTAATTCTTAAGGTCAGTTAATTAGGCCTAATGTTTGATTTTGTTGACAATTTGAAAATTTAAAATGTCAATAAAAAATTTTAAACAGAGCCAAGTTTAAAAAAAGAATATATACATTAATATTAAGTAGGATCAGTTGTAGTTTTTAAAAGCAATACAATTGTTGCTCCATCAAAAAAAGAATATATACATTAATTTTAAGTAGGATCTGTCGTAGTCTTTACATCCCTTTAGCCTTTAAGGCTTTTTATTCATTTAATTATAACATAACAAATTTATATAATTATTTTAGAGCCCATCTCTCTCAAATCTCATCCCAATTATTTATTTGTTTCCAAATTTCAATAAATCATATCTGAGTTCCTAATAGTAGTTTAGAGGACGTCAAATTGGCAGTCTTCTTGCGCGAGTGTTCTTGGCGGTCATACATTTTGTCTCTTTAAAACCTTCATTCTTTCGAGACTTCAAACTTTAGACTCTCATCAACGGTCAATGAATCATTCTCAACTTATGAATTCAATATGTAGTGATATCTTTTTCATATTTCCTTTCAAAAAAAAGTTTAGTCTTGTTATATGTGGCAATTTTATTGTTTGTCATGTATTAATAGAAAGAAGGTCGCCTATGAAGCGATTATTGATTATTTGCTTCATATTGTTCTACGAGAAATGTTTTTTACTGATGTTTTTTCTTTTTATCCGATACTTGTGTTGTTACTTTTGCCCAAATATGTAACTTAAATAATAATAATAATAATAATAAAAATAATAAAGAGATTTTTGACTTTATTTTATGAACTTCATTGGAAATTTTTATTATAATTCTTATTTCAAATATATAAGTATACGGTCATAGGCCCAGAATAGCGTACCGCCCATAGGCCCAGAAATGGTCAGGACCGGCCATGCAAAGGGGGAGTGACAGAGCCCAATTGGAGGTGAAGAAAAGGAAGGTCAGTGACATTAGCAATGACAGGAGCAGCACTAAGTAGCCACTAGCCACTACCAAATCTTAACTATTTTCAATTAGTCATTACTACCAATTCTTTTCATGTGCTTAATTATTTCTTTAATGAAAATGAGTGTACAAGAAAATGGGACTTTATTTATATGATGTGAATAAAATAATGGAAAAGAAGATAAAAACTGTCACCATGGTAGCGTTTTCAATGAAATGAAGCAAGAAGTTTTAGGAAGTAGAGATTTGGATGGAGAACATATTTAAAAAGAAAGAGAATAAACATACTGTCATATAAAATGGACCGCTGCCATAGTTTGATTGACCTGCTCTTCGAGTTCTTTGGTCCTAAAGTCAAAAGAAAATGTCTTAGATAAAGTGTGGTAATTATGAATGTTTGGCCGGATGAAGGAAGACAATCTGAAAGAAACATATGCTTCATGGTATGACTCGGGAAAGAGATGACAGTTAAAGTTTGCCAATGTACATACACGTGATTGATTGCTAAATTCTAAAAATTCATGTCTCTTATACAATTTTAAATCTGACATACAACTACATTTGTAGAACAAAGAAAAACAATTTCATAGAAAAACAACTATATTCTCCCTTGGCCATGTAACTGATCTTCTGATAACCAACCTTAAGTAGACTAACAGAGTGTACATGACTATTAATCATAGAGCTAAGAAGCAACATCCATGGAACCATGTAACAGTTCTAGATGTTTTAATAATGTGTACTGCTTTCTTGTAGTGCATTAAATTGTCAAAAACTAAACACAACTCAAGGAAAAGACTACAGTGTAAGGCTTCAACACATACAAACTATAGAGACATGTCTTCACATATTCTATAGCTAAGTCGTATCACCCCCCAAAAAAGAACTTTTAAAGAATACCACACTCTACTTATTGCAGTAAAGTTTCCTACCAACACTCACAATTCTATCAAGAATTCCAACATGAATTTTCAGTGCACAGTAATTAACAAGTACAAAAATGAGTACTTTATTGAGAATTTACTAAAACTCACAGCATAAACTCCACAATGCAAAATCACTGAAATCCGCCAAATAAAACAGTCCTAAAGTCTTGCAAATTGAACTTTACTCAACATGCTTTTCCTATGCAGGGGCGGACCGTAGTACAGACCCAGGGGGGCGGTCGCCCCCCAACAACAATTTTTTTAGTGTATATATATAATAAAAAGCAATTTTCGCCCTCCAAAAAATATTTTGTTTAAGTTACCGCCCCCCAAGACAAACTTCCTGGGTCCGCCCCTGTTCCTATGTAACCCCTATTAACAAATGAGATCTACAGAGAACCCCAATCCTAACAGATCCAAAGGCTCAACAGATTATGCCGCATATATGCTGGAGGATTACCGCAAAGGGGTTAACTTCGTCTTCTTCTCCTTCATCGAACGGATTATTATAATGGCCAGCCATCAGAATGAGTCAGCACAATAGCAATAGCAAGAGTCTGAAATGCACCAGCTTTTCAGAAAACACTAGCCGGAAGGATGATCCGAGGAATAGAATGCCCGGAATTTTAACAGACTTCTTGATAAATAAGAATTGAGAAATGGGTATAAATTGTATAACGTGGCTGAATTACTGGAGATTGAGATTCTTTTATTTGGATTATTAGAAAGACGAGGGATTGTGTTTAGGAAGATCGACGGGTTATTACCAATTCAAAAAGGCGAGAGTTTCTAATCATCAGGAGAAAAATAATTAATCTTCAATAACATGCAATCGCAATTTAGTGGGAAAAATTGCGCGCTGGGCTGTATATAGGTTCGCCAGTAGCTCATGTCGAGCTTAACTGCTTGCAGTTAAGGACAGTTGGAAAAAAAAATCATTTTCAAAAGAAATGATTGGATGACTTGCTTAGATGAACTTTATTGTTCTTTTCCTTTCTTTATTATCGTTTTCGGAAAAAAAAAATATACAACACTGTACTTATTGTTCTTTGTATCCCGGGCATCCCAACCTTTGTTACCGGTGGGCGCAGGTAGCCAGTGTCACAAGGGTTAGGTCCCGGATTCGAATCTCGGCAACTGCGATGAAAGGTTACTATGCTAAAAATGCATATGTATAGTCCAATTTACATCCTCCCATCGTACTGTCCGGTCGGTGTTGGGGGCCCTCAGGGATGAGGTGTCATCCTTTTTTATTATCGTTTTCGGTTTCTATTTCTATGATCCTCTTTGCCCTGTCTTTCTCCTCTTTTCCGTTGTCTTGGGAGGAAAGAATAACACTCTGCTGTCTTTTCTTTTAGTTGCCCATTATTTCCATTTTTTTTGGAATAAAGCGGTTTATATCGATATTAAAGCATTCACTAAGGGACAAAAGAGATAAAGGAAACACTTTCAGCCATCAACCCTCGAATCAGTCTGAGAACCAATCACCCTAGACAGAGCAATATGATTCGTTGATCCTGTAATGAGTCTAAATGAGCCTAACGTGGCCAGAGCAAAACCTTCATCACCCCTACCTGATGTAAAAGTCTGACAAAAATAAGCGTCCGAGGCAAACAAAACAACATGACGTTCAAAGTAAAAACACAAACAGACTAAAACAAAAAAAAGATAGCCTTCCAAACCCTAGTCGCACAATTCCTCCTTGGCGGCGGTTTAGGAGGGGGACAAATCACCATTTCATCACCTTCCTTCACGGCTTCACTCATACGGGATAAGCCGCGGAACGCTCATCATCCTCGCCATGGTTCCTTTCGATCGATTGTAGGAGCCATGGTTCCTTCCGATCGCCGAGGAGGGAGACGCCGTCGTCCCACTCCTGCTCCTTCCTCTGCAATACCAGCCCCGGCGAAAACATCTGCAACGCCTTCTCACTGATTCCACTTCCATCTCCTTTGCTCGCCATCGTCCGGGGACTCCCCTTCTTGCTCGCTACGTCACAAACCACCGGCTCATGCCAAAGCCGCCGGACAAAACTGCTAGGGATAAACCCTAGATGGCTGCCGTTTCTAGAGAGAGAAGCTCTCGTGCCCTCATCGTATTTACGGAGGGAGTACTTCATCTGCCTATTATTTCCTTTAAGAAGATTAATAAATAGAGATTAATTTCTTTCAAAAAATAAATAGAGATTAATTCCTTTCAAAAAAATAAATAGGGATTAATTAAGTCGTATTTTTGTTCACTATTTTTATTTTAGAAGTTCGTATGCCATACAATCAGTTGTAGGGTGAATACTGTATAGTTAGTGAGATTTCGTAATATAAGTGAAAATAGTGACTTCCGTTAAATGAGCAACAATGTAGTTTGAGTGTGCATCGGATCTATTCTACCGAGTATTGAGAGTCTAATAATAAGTATCGTGATATTGGTCTCATATCTTATAATTTACATTTTTTTCAAATATCTACAATGAACGCAATTGAATCTGTATGAATACAATATGTGAATTTAATGTAATATTATACTTTTAAAATATGCATGAATATGCTATTTTAAAATGAGTATATCATCAATATCAAATCCAAGGGCAAAAACAAACTCAAACTTCATTCATATTCCCGGTCAAGGAGAAGCATTGGCGGAAAGGTAATAAATTATGAAATGAGTATCGAAAAAATCAAAAAGTTCATTTAAAATCTCTACCATGCTCAAATTTTTGTTTGTGTATGCTCGTATCAGTAACACTATGTATAGCTTAGGTTCCTCCTAACTTGTGGTAAACGAGAGACCAAACTCACGAAACGCGTAAAAAAGAAAAAAACAAAAAGGAAAATAGTGGAGAGGGAGAGAGAGAGGTAACTAGCATCGGAGTATACACTCGAAATGCCCTTTAATTTTTAAATAAGAATATTACCCTAAATAGGACTAAAAAAGTTTGAAAATTCCAAAATAGGAATGCCATGTTTTTATTCCCAAAATATGAGTACTTAATGCCAAGTTTGGAAAATACTGTCATGTGTGAAGTCTGGCACTGCCAAAACATGCTGGAGGACGAGGTGTTGCGTTCGTGCTGGAGGAGAAGAGATCATTGCGAGTGTCGAGTCATCCATCTTTGTACAATGAGCGATGGGCGAGCATCGGGCGAAGTGTGAATGGCGATCAATCAAAGTGCGAAGTGCGAATGGTGATCGAAGCGACGAGCGGCAACTAAAAGCCTGCAGGATGTATCATGCGCACAGTACAGTCAGGTGTACGAAATAATTTTACCTTATTTAGTCTTATATTTGTCATTATTTGTAATTAATAATAATTTACTCTGTAATGATACCTATTTTAATTCATTTTTATTTAAGTTCTTCTTCTTTTTATTTTTATTCTTATATTTTTATCCGCCCATCCACGATTTTAAAATTTTTCATCTAATTCCCACTATTTTAATATTCCTATCACTTTTATTTGATGAGTAATATGTGATGGATAGTCTACCCGGGGGGTATCTTATCCGAGGGGTTATTGCAGGAATAACTAGAGAGAAGTCAGAGCAAAATAGGAGGAGAGAGAGTCGATTTATTAAATGAACTCAGCGTGTGGAGTTGAGATGTAGGTTGTGATGTAGATTACAAGGAGAAATGGGCTGCTATTTATAGCAGCAATAAATGCGATGAGAGTACACGTGTCAGTAATCCAACGGCCGAAGGGTCACATCAGCCTGGTGGCACCGGCAGCGGTACGTTCACCGCATTGAATGCGGTTGGCGGATGTGACGTGGCATTAAATGCGGTGGTTGGCTGTCCCCAAAAGGAATCTTCGATGATTGAGCATGCTTGGCCGAAGGCTTCTGGTGTAGCCGAGTGCTCCGTGTAACCGAGGACCCCTGTGTAGCCGAAGGCCTTGTGTGGCCGAAGGCTTTGTTCAGCCGAAGGCCTCTCTGATGCCGAGGGCTCGATAATGCCGAAGGCTCATGTTTTTCGCCGTTTTCTCCCAGTAGCTTCTTATGCTAGAGAAGGCTATCCTGTGAGTTTTGGAGCCTTCGGCCAAGGAGGCCGAAGGCACCCCAGTGTGTGTTCTGGGTTACTTTGAGGCTCGGGCCGTTGCATTTGGGCCTGAGTTGTTCTCTGGGCTCAACGGACTTGTGCAGGAGAAGTAGGAGTCCATGGGCCGGGGGTTCCCGGGCCATATACTCCATCAGGAGTCCCTCACTCCTTTTGCCGAAAGGTACTTGAGGGAAAAGGAGTAGATGTGTTGGTTCTTCCGGAGGCTGCATCGTTTCGTTGGGTGCCTTTGTTGGAGAACTCGTCTTCTGCTGATTGCCGGAGGCTTCTCTCAGGCCCTCACATGTCGAGGGTTTTCTGAGAGAAGGTATTCGTAACCTTCCCCGGGGGCTCCCCCTCAGTCCCTCACATGTCGAGGGCTTTCTGAGGGCAGTGTAACACCTGTATGACTGCGGAAGGCTTTTCCCAGTCTCTCACATGTTGAGGGTTTCCGGGGAAAGCATAGATGTATTGCCTGCGTGTGTTGTGATGGGGGCTGCTTCATTTCCGCAAGTGACTTGGGGAAACTTTTGATATTCTGTCTCCGAAGGGCGTGATTCCCGAGGGGTGTGTCCTAGTCCCTCACTCCTTTTGCCGAAAGGTACTTGAGGGAAAAGGAGTTATGATGAGTTGACGAGCCCCCGAGGGGTGGTAACATTGATAGGCCGAAGGCTTATGTTGCTACTGGCTCGAAGGCGTTTTGGTGAAATTCACTGGTAGAAGGGTGTGGTGAGCGATAGCCGGAGGCTACCATTTGAGGGCACCCTAGTGTTCGGGGAATATAGCCGTTGTAATAGAGCCGTTGGTAGTGGGTTCCACGTGGCGCATTGTCGTTGGCATATGGGGGGCGGGTGCCAACCATTGGTTGAACCGGCGGCCTGTAATGATGGGCTTTTCAAATCGAGGCCCGTTTCTCGAGGCTGAAAACCTATATATACCCCAAGGCCTGAGCCATTCCCCCTGTGCGATTTTTTGTGATAGCGAAGCTCTGCCAAAAATTCTAGAGAGAGAAACCCTTGCCTTCGATCAAACTCCGATTCATAAGGTTAGTTCTTCATCTGTTCTTCGTGCACTTAGCACTTCTTGCTGTTCTTCCCTTTGATCGATTGTTAGTGGCCTTAGTAGCCTTACATCAAATACTTAGGTAGCCTTCTTCCCTAGGACGCCTTATCCTTAGAAAAAATGTCCTCGCAAAGTGACTCCCAAGATATCTCGAGGGAGCCATCGGCCCAGCAAGAAAGTCTATCGGGTGCAGAGTCGTCTAGCGAGCAGTCCTCGGCGAACAACGATTCAGCTGTCGCTGAAGAGGTCCAAGATAACCTTCGCACTGAGCTGGAGGCGGAGGAGTTCGAGCAGGTGATCGAGGACGAAGAAATGGCCCTCGCGCTGCAGGTAGCGGAAGAAGAGGAGGAGAAGGAGAGGCAAGAAGTCACTATTGCTGTCCTCCCACTTCGCGGTTCCGGCGAAGCGAGCACCTCCCGGCCATTGGACCCGGAACCCCTTAGCGTTGCCGTGGGGAAGAAGAGGAGGAAGACGAAGGCTACTCAGAAGAACAAGCAAATCGCAGTGGATTGTGGGAAGCCCGTGGGGATACCCGAGGGGCATTCATGGCTGAATACTGCCGCCCTTGCGCTGAAATCGAGGGCTGACCGGGCAGAGTGTTATGTCACTCAGCTGCATGTGGGCCCTTCGGCCACTGTCATCGAACCGGGACCCAACGACCTCTTGTCCCAAGCTCCCGAAGGGTGTTTCGCGGTCCATGTGCTGTCAGTTGCCATGGGCCTCCGGTTTCCGTTGCATCCCTTCCTCCTCGAGTATCTGCGGTATGTGGGTTTAGCCCCCTGCCAGCTCACCCCAAACAGCCACTCCTATATCACCGGCTTCCTGCAACTTTGCCGCTCCCGGGGGGGTAACCGCAACCCTCGACCTGTTTTTTCAAAGCTTCAACCTGTGCCGGGGGGGCACA